CTGCCTCCATCTCTGGTGTTACTGCTTCTCTGGATAGGGTCCCACATTCCGCTTGTGTTCTTCTCCCTTGATGGTCCTAGGGTCTGCTGTTTCTGGACTGTAAGATTTACTCCCTACTTTTTGGTACAGAACTTCTACCTTTACAGTTGTGACAATCACAATTAGTCATGATGGCAATTACTCACAATTGAATCATAAGAATCTTACTCCCATGTTCTTTCACCAGACCCATCTAGACAAGATACAAACTATTCAGAGGAGGTTCTACCTTCCCCCACACACTTTGAAACTAAAGTCCTTCTTGAAAACTTGTAAATCAGTCACTTCATGTCTTTATTGCCCAGCCCCATTTTAGGTAGCCAATGTATAAATCGCCCGTCCCTACCAACCCTGTATACAGAGGGGATAGGATTGATCCTTGATGTGAAGATTCCTTCCCTCTCAGTTGGTATTTTGAACTACTACATCTATAAGCATAGGTTAAGTTCCTCAAATTGTAGCAATTTACACTTGTTTCCTTTATCAGATTTTTTTTTTTTTAATCTTCCTCTAGTCGAGTTCTGATCATCAAGCCACCAAAGCTAGGTCAAATGGGTACTATCTGCAAGTTTGGGTGTTCTTGTGCATCTCCCCTCACTTCATATCATCTGGATGCTTCCCTCTCAGCTCTAGTCCTCTGCAGTTACGTCCTTGTCCATGGAATCAAGAGTTCCCAGGTTTCCAGAGCTTTATTTCTAAAGGCATGGGTGCACATTTAGTTAGAGCCCAGCCCTTGGGGAAGTCCTTCAGCTCCACAGTTCTCAAAAGATCTCATTGACCCTAAGTTAAAAAGGTCAGACTATTAATTGCCAGATGAGTTGGCTCTGAGTCATGGTTATCATATAAACAACAGAATGAAATGATGCCTGGTCTTACGCCTTCTTCACTGGCATGTTTGAGTCCACTGTTTTGAGAGTTTCTCTTGGTTGGTGTGTCCTGTCCTCTCCTTTACCAAATAAGATAGGTCTTTTCTGATGGTGTGTTCAAAGTAAGGGAGAAGTCTCACCATCCTTCCTTCTAAGGAACATTCTAGTTGCATTCTTTTTCTATTACTGATTTATCCATTCTTTTGTTAGTCTGTGGTATAGTCAATATTCTTCACCAAACCCACAGTTCGAACATAATTCTTCAGTCATATTCTGAGTGTTTCACAAACT